TTCCTCCGATTACCACATCTCTTTCAGTTAATGGCCATGTTTTTGTCTCTGTTCTCTAATTGTATATATGGTTCTGCATTGCTCCTTCCTCAGCTTATTTTTTTACCTGGAAAGAATCCATCAGTGCTCCTCGAGGAATATTCTTTTTTATTCCTAGCATTCATGTCTCCCATTTTGTTGTGTATATGTTTCTTTCTATTTGTGTAATTTTCCTTCCAATTTGATTTTTGTGTTAATGCTTCTCACACCTCACTCACAAACCCACCCCCAGCCCCACACCCAGCTGTGGAAATCTGCATAAATATGATTAGGTGGACAAGGCAGTTCGAAGTTGCACAAGATCAAGTTGCTGAAATAATGATTCAGATTAGTTTGCTACTCTGTTTGCACTCTATTTGCACAGTTCCTATTTTTCTTATATACTTTCGATGATACCCAATTAACTTCATTTCATTGTTTCTACCATTCTTGCGTGAAATTTTTAAAACTAACATCTGTAGTCTCATCCCAAAGATGCAGTAGCTAATGTTGAATTCTCAAATATTAACTTAGATGGATTTTTTTTTGCTCTCGGAGTTAAATTTGTTTGTTTTAACTGAATAAATGAAAATAGGAACCCTCAGGGGTTGCTCAATTGGTCAGNTCAATTGGTCAGGCCTTGGGTTTGCTCTCCAATCGTCACCAGTTCGAGTCCCCTCAGGGCCACTGAGGTCAGTACCGGGCCGTAAACTTCAGGTCTTCGTGGAATTAGTCGAGGTGCGCGCAAGCTGACCCGGACATCCACGGTTATCAAAAAAAAATAAAAATAAATGAAAATAGGTGAATTCTTTTCCAATTTATGAAATTTACGTTAGAGCTACCTAGAATCATCATCTGGGAAGGTGAAGATGAGGTAAAATGCTTAATTTGTTGATTTATTTGTTTGCAGGGCCAAAGATCTAAACAAGCTTTGGTTGTGAGCTAGCAGTAATTTCTGAAAATGAATCAAGTTATCCAGGGTGATGACTCTGGTGCTCCTTCTGTCCTGCCGGCGAAGCGGGGACGTGGCCGCCCTCGGAAAGATCCAAACCTGAAGCATGTTAAAACTGCACGCAGACCTCCTGGTTTTGAAGGAGGGAAAGGATACCACCGTCCCCATAAAGTGGATAGAGTAGATGGAAATGACAATATGGTGGGCCAGTCAGTGACTGGTGTTGTTGAGGCCTCGTTTGATGCTGGCTATATGCTCAATGTTAGAATTGGCAACTCCAATGCTACTTTGAGGGGTGCTGTTTTCAAGCCAGGACATTATATTCCCGTCACAGCTGAAAATGACATAGCCCCACATGTTCGGATGATCAGAAGAAATGACATGCAATTCTCATCTCAAAACGGAACTTGGTCACGTGGCCAGAAACTTGCTATTCAGACAGCTGGTGCAGTAGGCGCAAAACTCAAATATACATCTCCAAAGGTAGTTTCTTCTGTTCCTCCAGTGTGTGTGAGGGGCACTGTGGTTCCTGTTGTATTGCAACCTGTCAATCCATCAAGTGGGCTGACAACTTGTAGCCAAATGTCTTCTGATGCATCCCGTGCCACTTCTATGTTGTTTTTGGAAGACAAAGATGTGGAGTCGGTTGAACCATTAGCTATGTTACCACCTGCTCAATCTATACCTGCTGGCCGGATTCCGATTACCATGCAACCCCAAATTGGGCACCAAGCTGCAAAAGAAAGTATGCTGAATGAAAATGCTTCATTGCAAGAAGGCACGCCGGAGGTTGAAAAAGGAAAAAAAGGCATGGAATCAGATTTACATATGGCAGGCTCTTCAAGATCGTCAGAGGTTCACAACAAAAATGGTGAGGATGCATGGGAACCTTCACCTGAAGATTACGGTGTTAATGACTCCTCAACTGTGCCATCACAAACTGCATCTGTCCCGACACCTCTGAACAATTATGGAACTGGAAGGATGACTGAACTTTTGCATGTAAGATGTTGCCTCAACTTATAAAAACATCTTCATTAGTTTACAAACAGAGATTTTTTTATATAAATCCTCAATGGGATATGCTTTAGTCAAGGCTTTGCAGGAAAATATGAAGGAGATTCCCCTTCCCGTACCTGAACAACCATCTTCTGCATCGGAAGTTGAATGAAGCTAAGAGCGCTGAAGCTGATCCGAAAGAACAAGCCTAGAAATGTCCACAAGTATGCCTGTGATCTCCTTTCTGCTTTACTTCAACAATTTCTAGTGCGCTACTGAAGATTTCAGTAGGATTTAGTTACTTGGAGACTCGAAAAGCTGCAACAGGGGAAGTTTTTTTCAGACACAAGAATTTCTAAAATGGTCCTTAGTTACACAGGAGTTTTTAGACTTGGACGAATCTCTCCTTTTTTAATCTTATGTCTGTTACAATCTCCTTCCCTTGATCTTTTGTGCTTAATTACTTGTAAAATCTCATAGTGTGCGCTGTTTTCCCTCCCTTGGTAAAATGTTCTTTTTGTTATTATTGTCATCAAATATGCAATTTCTGCATTGAAAGAGATGCTAGATGGGAAATGGTTTTGATTATGCGAAGTCGAAGAACCACCAATAACATGTATTATGCAGGGTACACGAGGCAGCTTAAAGTGCATGTTTGATAGTCTTTGGTAGACTAACATAAACATAATTTTAGCTTATTTTCCTTGTACAGACTGATGTTTCTAGTCGAACAATCTTTGTAATCAAACGAATAGAATTTTGTTGTTTTAAACATCTAACATTCCACAGGGTACAAAGAAATAGAACACCAAGCATCTAGGTTTAGTTGAGGAAAAGGGTATAAATGGTGAAGTTTTAAAATTTATAACTTTACCTCTATTTCGGTCTGACAAATGATAAGTTTTGTACAACTACGAATTTCTCTTTCTTGTATCAGCAAGGTATCTTTCCATTTTAAACCAACATTCTTGAGTTGTGGTGAAAATATAGACCAGAAATCCAATAAACCTCGTCACCTTTCACGGAGGATATTGTACTCATTCTCTGGTGACATCAAGTTACACATTTAGTTATTTACTAAGTTATAGACAGACATGACTTCCCTAGCGTTAGTGATCATTAGAGATTTTACCTGCTTTATCTTTGTATGGAAAGTTTAACTTTAACATTTATTTATTTTCTTTATATATTACACTCTTTTATTTTTGGAGGTTGAGCATATATACCCTTCTTTTGATTCACGTGAGTTTGATATATTATATGGTTAGGAAATCCTAACCCCATCAATCTTGCCTGTGGAGTTCGAAACGCACTAAGAATGTGTTAGTTTTTGTAAAAAAAAAATAAAAAAAAATGGTAAATGCTTGTTGTGAATTACCATTTACAGATTGATGAGGTAACGTTGAATTGAATTAAAACTACCAAAATCTTAACACCACTTAAACTATTGTGCTTATGTAACGTTGTTTGACGGCAAAAAGAATTTGGATTTTTTTTTTTTAATTTGGCCATTGACATTTTGACTCCACCTCTGTTGTGTTGTTGTAATGTGCATGCACAGAAAAAAACAGCCATTTAGAGATGACAGTTTTATGGGGAACCACTGGAATCGAATTAAAATTGGTCTATTGTTGATTCTAATTGATTACATGTTGCCCGATTATTCAATTTGATTCATTATAACGGTTAATAGTTTATTATTCTTACCTATTAATAGTCATTTACATCCATGCACAATTTGGCGAGCTTTCCAAGGTGAGCAATTCTTCCTTTATTTGACACTGTTAATTTGATTGAACTTTCTTTGCAAAAGATTTAATTATTTAAAGTTGGAAGTCGATGGATATGATAATGATCCTGCGTTGCATGATCAATTTTGATAGATTTAACTTTTGTGGTTGGAATTCTTGATAAGTTGATTAGATTTACAGGATTCCGATCAAAACATGGAGTACTTTCACTTGATTTGAGTTTAATTGGCGCTATATATATGATCAATTTTGATAGATTTACCTTTTGTGGTTGGAATTCTTGATAAGTTGATTAGAATTACTGGATTTCGATCAAAACACGGAGTACTTTCTTGTGATTTGAGTTTAATTGGCGCTATACACACACTCACACACACACATGCACACTTCTTTTAATGAAAGATCATAGGGTGATCTCTATTTACAGCAGAAAATTTGGATTTTCCCATTAAACTTATGCTTAATGAATGACCTTTTAGAGAGATTGAAGGAGTTGGTGATTTGTTTATCGAATTCAGTATCATTTAATGTTAAATGGTTTCATATCACAAAACCAAGAGAAACATTTTTATCTAAAACTATCCGTTGCCCCTGCAAAGAAACAAGGAAATTGTGCTGTGCTTAATATTGGACTGGATTAAACTTGGAAACTCACTGCAGTTTTTAACACTGGGGATGCTCAACTGTTTGTAATTTTTCATGCTATCACAGTTCTATAGTCGTTTCTGATCCCCCGGCAAAGAAAGATTCTTAAAGGAAGGAAAATAAGTTAAGAAAGTTTTTCTTAATAGTATTTTCGACTATCCCAATGATCTTTGTTTCATTCGTTCTTGTGAGAGAGTTTCATGACTAACATCTAATGTTGAATCCTCCAATCTCAACTCAGATGCATTTTTTGCTTTTGGAGTTAAATTTGTTTATTTTGACTGAATAGCAGAAAATAGGTGAATCCATTTCCAATTTTTGGAATTTACTGTGCCTGGTGAATACATACAACAGAAGTTAAGAACTACCTAGAATCGTTATCCTCTGGGAAGGTAAAGATAAGGTTAAAATCCTTAATTTGTTTGATTTATTTTGTTTTGCAGGACCGAAGATCTAAATGAATCAAGTTATCCAAGGTGACGACTCTGGTGCCCCTTCAGTCCTCCCAGCGAAGTGGGGACGTGGTCGCCCTCGGAAAGAAACAAACCTAAAGCAAGTTAAAACTGAACGTGAACCTCCTGGTTTTGAAGGAGCGATAGGAAAACGTCCCCATAAAGTGGATAGCATGGATGGAAATGACTATGGTGGGACAGGCAGTGACGGGGGTTGTTGAGGGCGCTTTTGGTGCTGGCTATGTGCTCAATGTTAGAATTGGCAACTCCAATACAACTCTGAGGGGTGTTGTACTCGAGCCAGGGCATTACATTCCAGTCACAGATGAAAATGACATTGCCCCACATGTTCAAATGATAAGAAGAAACGACATACAGTTCTCGGCTCAAAACCGAACTCTTCAAACAGGTGGGTACAGCAGGAGCAAATCTCAAATATGCCTCTCCAAAGGTAGTTTCTTCTGTTCCTCCTGATGTTTTGCTTCCTGTCATTCCATCAAATGGACAGCCATCTTCTAGCCAAATGCCTTCTGATGCATCCCAAGCTGCTTCTGTGTTACCACCTGTTCAACCCAGACCTGCTGGCCAGATTCCGATTGTCATCAACCCCAATTTGGGCACCAAGTTGCACAAGAAAGTGTGCAGAATGAAAATGCTTCATCAAAAGATGGCACCCCCGAGGTTGAAAAAGGAGAAAAGTGCATGCAATAAATGGAGTTACAGATGGCCGGCTCTTCAAGATCATCAGAGATTCAGAACAAAAATGGTGAGGATGCATGAGGAGATGAAGAGGGAGCATGAGTAATATGAAGGTTTGAGAGCAGATGTTGAAGGGTTGAGCAAGGGTCTTGCAGTTAAGCTTCCTTCTACCTTGTGAGGTCAAGAAATTTTGTCTACCATAGACATTTAAGAAATTACGTAGTTTAATTTCTAAGCAATATAACTTTAATTTGGTCTAATTTAATCAAATGTTCCAAAAAAACAGCGAATTAATGTTTCATATTCATTTAATTTATGTAAAATTTCACTCAAAACAATGTGGTAGAACTCACTCAAGATCATAAACTTCAAAAATTCAAATACTTCGAAGATTTTAAGAAAGGTGAATTGTAACGATGAAATTAAGAGAAAGCTTGCAATTTTTGGTATCAAAGTTAATGGTTATGCATATTTACTAATCGAATTTCAAATTTTATGAGTTTTGACTACTTCGTTGGTCAAATTTATGACATATGGAAAATTTGTCCTTACATGGAAGGGAATTAAAAGATCTACCACTTCAATTTATGCTTCGAAATAGACAATTACTTCAAATAGATACTTTTGTATTGAAAAAGAATAATAGAAAGATGTATTACTCATCTTCTCGTAAATTTAAAACTTGATCAATAATCATCCATTGTAGGAGGTTTTTGAGCTAGTCACGTAAAGAGAAAATGAGATTATTTAGTTTGTAACTGTGTCGATCTTCATTCATTCATCTAAAATCCTAATTAGTAAAATTGGTGAAAAACAATCCACTCAACCTTACCATCATATGAATTTACAATTTTGCAAAGCGAGCAAAGAGATGCAAAAGACTATCGAATTAGGATTCTTGAATTTTGGGTATTTCTTCACTATATTTTATGCCAATATTCAAAACCCTTGGCTTGAAAGCATTACATTAATAAGCCCTTGTTTGATTTAGAATTTTTCAAATTAAATTTTCTGCAACTTATTTTCAATTATATATATATATTTTTTAAAAAATAATTTTATACTTGAATTCACAATTTTTTGATATTATATTTAGGGGGTGTTTGTGATAGATTCTCAAATTCTACAGTAAATCAATTATCATTTTCAACCGCACATTCTTCAATAAAATAATATTTTTCGTCACATGAATAATTTTTTTTTCTTTTTCAACCATATATTTTCCATCATAGCACTATTCAAAATCAATTCTT